TGAGATCAGCAAAATTAAAAAGGACCTTCAGAAATAACGCCAGTGAATCAGCGTGCTTCTGGACTGGTATTTTAGGGTTTTTTCTTAAACACTAAGAAACTATTGGGTTTTCCTCGCTTCTTAACTTCGCAATGCAATTTTGTATAGTAGGCAACTTGCGCAAGACATCAGTGTTTGGATTGGTGCACACGGCACCTCAGACTGCCGTGGATGAATGATTCGTCCAGTGATTCGCTTGTTGTCCAATGGGCGGCGTAATGTCTCTGTGTATATTTGCATGCGTTCCAAAGGGGTGGGAGGACAAATTTTTAGTTTATTTCGTCATCAGACACTTGATAAGAGAGGAACCGTTCAGGATGCTTAATCTTCAGTACTTGAATGACTGCAAGGAGTTACCTCCTGTAGTGCTTGAGGATGCTAGAATCACTGTCAGCCTTCTTGTATGCTCCTCATTTGCCATACTGCTCGAATTGATTGCCCTTATTGTGCTTGCTCGACACAGAGCCAAGCGCTTTGGCTCAATGCGCAAAAGTCTCATTGCGCTGACATCCATTGAAATGTGGCTGAATACATCCATTTTTGTGCATAAAGTGTGGGAGGATTACGGTTCGCCTCATCCCGAAACCCTGCTGTCATACATTCTCGCTGCCATTCTTTTTAGTCTACTCAACAGTGCAATTTGTTCTCGCAATTGGTGCGTTACACTGATTGCGCTCTCACGTTGTGAAGCCATCACTCGTCCTCTGGCCCATCGATCGTCAAAGCAGCTTTTAAGCCCTAATCGACAGCTTATTCTGCTTGTCTTTGTAATCATTTTGGGGATAATATTCAGTGCCGTCCGTTTAACTTTCCTTAACATTGTAGTTTGTACTAATCTGAACAACACTGTGATACGATTACCGCCAGCGAATAGTACAAACGCAGGACGATTTGAAAAAGTATTTTTTGCATATCAGTCAGCAATTCCGATCAGCATTGTGGCCTTGGCGACTGTTTTTATGATTTGGACTCTTTTAAGACCAAAAATAGCAGCAGCCAAAAGAACGCCTTCTTCTCCAGAAATCCAACGACAACTTCAGTGTCCCTCGACTGCCCACGGGTCGCATAATCATGGTAAAATTTTACCACGTGGTTATGAGAAAAGGAATGTATCAAGGCTGACAAATCAAGTTCGGGCAACGCGCACAATCTTCTTTATTGCCGCAGTATTTACAGTACTGGAGGCTCCAGTGTTTTTCATAATTGTGTTCGAGAACCACATTGGGTCAGACGTCAGGGTAGTAATTGTGCAATTATTAAAATTCCTAATAATTCTGGATTCATACACGAACATCGCCATTTACTTGCTGACAAGCGAGCACTTTCGGACTGAACTAATACGGATGCTGACTTGCGGAAGATACAGAACGGAAAAGGCGCATTCCCGAATTCGGAACACTAAATTGGCAATCCAACGTCCATCAAAAACTCCACTGCCATCACAGGCCTCCCCTCCAACTCGTCGGAATACGGATACGGACATTCTATAAGTATATTTGTAAGGAAAAACTATGCTTCATCCAGTTTGAAAAACCATCTTTTTGTTGCAATTCCGTTTGAACATTTTTCTGTAAATATGGGTAGGGAGCTGATAATCGGCTGTCTGTAGATAATAATTTATATGTATGTGAAAATATATTTTCCTTAACAATATTCGAATGTGACATTATATAACTTTCGAAGGAATAATGGAATTTCATTGGGGAATAGAAAAAATTGCGATCACATCAGCTTAATGTGATCTGCAACAAACTTTTCCGATGAAAAACAAACCGAGTATCATCCCTTGCTTTGCTCTGGAACAATCATAGATTACTACACGTGCGAAAGAAAGGCTTCACTTTCTCATACTTATCGGACAGACAGAAGACTAAACGTTATCAGTACAGGCAAACATGCAAGTCCCATGCTACTGTGAATGCTAATGTCTCTGATACGCGACGGACTCCGAAACGTCAGGTGAATAAAAACCATGTTCCAGTGATTGCATCCTCTTCTTCTTCTCAAACTTAATGATACTTTGGTTGTATTGCGTGAATTCCTTTTAGAAGCCAAAGCAACGAGGGATATTTGATAATGAGAAGTTAAGGAGCTCGGTTCATGAAAAAGTCAGAGACTTATTTAATGCTAAAGCGTCTTAATATTAAAACATATAAAGCCTTTGAGATCGTGTTGTATACAGGTATGATGTTAAATACTCTGACAGTAGCCAATCGTCTTTAATGCGTTTAATGATGAAATATTTCGATTTCTGTTTGCAATTTCCTATATGACCAACTATATGCCTAATGCTAGAACGAACCACGGAAATAAGTATTTGAGGTCTGCGGAAGAAATAACTCGCCCAATGCCAGTCCCATAC